CTATTATATTATAATGTCATACAATATACACACAAATTCAATGTTATTGTTAACTATTGAAACGTCAAACAAATTATTATTATAAAAAAAAATTAAAAAATAAATAAATAACTGTAAACTAACTGATTGTTGATATTTGTGTAAAAAAAATTATTTTTTTTGTATTTTTTTGTTGTTGTTGTAAAATACAAAACTAAATTGTGATTTCAATAGCTATCCTAATAATAATAATAATAATAATATTGAAAAAAACAAACTAACTAATAATAACAATGCAATCGCTATCGGTATCCAATCTACAGGTGTTTGAATTAGAGGACAGTTGTATGGATGATAGCAATGACAGTCTGTTCAATGGTAGTCATAATCATAATACTAGTTCAACAATAGGTAAAGACAACTATCATCGCAATCAACAACAGCGCCGTCAGTATAACGGAAAGTCATATAATAATAATAATAATAATAATAATAATAATAATACTAAAAATAAAAACTTTTATTATAATAATAACGGTTTTGATAATAATAATAATAACTATAATACAAATAATAACTATAATAGCAATACTCGTAATCACAATCGCTATAATAGTAATCATCAAAACTATAATACAAATACAAATAATAATAATAATCGTAACCCAAATCGGTTTAAATTGAAACTAAATTTTGGTAACTTTTACGGCAAAAACAAGTATAATCTTCGTCGACACGATTCGGGGTTTGTTAGCAACCGAAGCACCGGTAGCCCTGAGCCGAGTAGCGCTGAAACCGTATTTTCTATCGACAACAACAACTATGTTACCTTTGAGCACAACCCTAACGTTATGGCCAAACATCGACAGCGACCGCAAACAACAGCTCAACAGGATCTCTATTACTACCAGAGCTGCCAATCGCTGTACGACAGGTCACCGGTAGACTCATCGGATGTTTTCGGACTCAGTATACAACGTGTACTGTCGGCTACATTGCCTGTGCTGAGCACTGGTAGGCCATCAATTCATAAGTCAACTAATAATAATAATAATAATATCAATGGCAGTTGTCTATCGTTGCCAGTTGTTAGCAGTAGTAGTAGTAGTAGTAGTAGTCATCAACCGGAGAAGCTCACTACAGCGGAAACCAGAATTTTTACCACCAGTTCCCGTAATCCGACAGCCAATCATCATCAACAGCAGCAGGTTGTTAGCTATGCCAACCGTACATGGGATCAGATCCATACATTGGCCGATCAGGCCCTTAGCCAATGGCTGGCCTATCGTAAGACCAGTAGCAGCGGTGGTGGTGGTGGCTATCGTAATACGGTATTGTCGGGCACCGGCCTAAAAGGTTTCGCCTATTTCGAGCCCAATCTGGAAGTCAAGTACAGTCTACTGTTGAACCAAAACCTACTGATGCAACCAATCAGACGGCATACCAGCGAAGTCAACCTCCGGAGGCTTGTAGTCGACTCACGGGAACTGTACGCCGATGACCAACAACTGTTGGACTTAGAGTGGACGCCACGGGCGACGTCGTCGGCTGCGGCGGCGGGCGATCTCCTATTTGAAAGTCAACAAACTGTAGACGATAGCCGACAAAAACAGGACAGGGATACAAAAAATATGGTATCGGAGCTGATCTACAAATTGTTTATGAATGTACACGAGTTTCGGGTAACCGACGACAATATTGAACGTGTGGCCGACCAGATATGTTCGGTCGATGGCTATCTGATGTCGCAGATCAAGACCGCTGATGTGGCCAACTATTTGTTTGGCCGTCGATGTTGCGGCTGTACACTGTCGTCCCTGTTGTCAGTCATACAGTTTAGTCAGACACTATCGGGTTTGATTGTCGACTGTATCGACGGCAAAGTGGCCGCCTATCAACGTATTGCCTATATTATCGCCTTTATTAAAGTTAGTCCTAATTAATTAATTAATTTTATTATTAACTATATTTAACTAATTAATATATATAGTTGTCAATGAGTTTGTATCGTAAGTCCAATTGGCAGTCATTGCATACACTGGTGGCTACCATACAGTCCCGTAAAATCTATCGGATGGCCACTGAATGGCAACAAATCAGGCAAAACTATCGACACTATTACGAGTAATGATAATATTATTAACTAATTAATTAACTAATTAACTAATATTAACTAAATTTTTTTTTTCTCTCTCTCTCTCTGTCACTAATTAGTGAATTCATAAAACTATCGGTAATAGTTAGGTCAAGCGAAACATCCCTAATGTATACCATACCGAAAGGCATACCGGCCCTGAAAAACCTGTTGCTTACCCAACGAGTCAATTGTCTATCGAAATGGGATCGACTGGAATGGCCGGCCAAATGGACACAACAGCCGGGCATTATAACATGGCTTGAACGGGAACTTCAGCAATCGTTGTTGTTGTCCAGAGTACGGCTATCAGTTGGAAACGGTATGTCGGCAATGGCTGGTGGAGTTGGAGGAGGATGTCATCCATTGTATATAACTGATGATGAGCTCCGGGATGGCAGCGATGATGATAATGGTTATCGCAATCACCAATTATTACCGCCTAAACAGTTGATATGTTTGATACCGGTCAGTAAAATGCCGGAAAACTGGTTAAACCGGTCGCTGAGGAACACACCGGTAGACTATAAGCACCGTTTGATGGAGTTTTTAGACGAAAGTTTACGCCAAGAGATAAAGTTTGATACAAAAATTATTATTAATACTAATAATAATAATTTATGATTTAATTGAATTTTTTTTCCTATCAATTATTATTATTATTATTATTATTATTATCTATATATATAGTGAATAATTTAGAAACCATTATTAAATACATTAACAGTATTTAAATATACTGGAAGTAATTATCGCAAAATATAAAAATATTTTTATTTAAAAAAAATAAATAAAAATAATATATAATAGATTTTTTTGTTGTATTTTTTGATAATCAATTATAATATTGTTGTTTGTTTTTTAATTTTGTTTTTTTTTAATATACATTATAATTGATTGATAGAAAAAAAACTATTATTATTATTATTATTATTATTATTAATTACAATTGAAATATTATAATTAATTAATTAATTATAATTAAATAATTATTTTAAAAAAAAATCTATTATGTTATACTAGTTAAACGTTTTTATTATATTAATAACAATTGTTTTTTTTCTTTATGCACCTATAATTGGCATTTAATTTTTTTATTATTAAAAAAATGTTTATTATTATTATTATATTTTTTGGATAAAATAATAAACAAATATAATAATAACGGATTCATATAATTAATTAACTAATAATAATAAGGATCAATACATAATCACTTTTTTGTTAAAAAAACTTCACAATTAAAAAAAATTACAAAATTATTATTAAAAAAAATATATTTTTTATAATATCACAAAAAATAATGTTAAAAACTAAATATATATATACTGTATATATATATATATATATAATTATAACAATAATAAATGGATATTATTAATCAAACTAAAAAAAATAAATGTGTTTTTATTTAATAATTTAAACTATTTTATTGTTGAAATACTTTTTATTATAAATATATATAACTTTTTATTTTATTATTTTATTTTTATTATTATTATTATTATTATTATTAACCGTGACAATGTGTAACTGTTACTATATTTAAATTAATTTTTATTAATTTTTTAATTATTTAAGTTTACATTAATTAGTTTTTTTTAAATATTGATAATAATAATAATAATTAAAAATAAATATTGAAGGCTCAAGTTTAGTAATATTTATAATTATCAGTTATAATTAGTTTTAAATATTTATATATATATATATATAATGAAAAATTAATCAATAAATCAGATATTTGTAAAAAAATATAAGTGAATGAAATTATTAAAAAAATAAATAAATAATAATTAAATTATAAATAAAAAGTTAGATTTTTTATTGTTGTTACTTTATGTTTAAGTTCAATGATAAACATTATTATAATTTTTTTAATATATTACTAAATAAGTTATGAATAATAATAATAATAATATTTTTAGTAAAATAGTAATTTATTATATTAGCATAAAATCAATACCAATATTTCAATTATATACTTTACAATACAATTTAAAATACAAACACTTAAAATACAGTAAAAGTAAATATTTAAAGAAAAAACTAATAATAATAATATAATGATTAATAATACAAATAAATATGTAATATAATTATATGTTTTTTTTTGTGGAAAACTACGAAAAATATTATTAATAAATAATGATTAATTTGATTTTTTTTAAAACATTGAAAGTGCACTATTGGAAAATTACTTAAATTATGCTAGCCCATTATTTATCATATATAAAAAATGAACTTGGTATATTAAAAAAATATATTGAACAAAAAAAACAATTCAAACAATTCATGTTTTATATTTTACAAAAATGAAAATTATTATTATTACTAATATAAAAAATTTATTTATTTGGTTATTTTTATTTTAGCAATTTAGTTATATACTGAATAAATGATTTATTATTAAAATCAAATATTGCTGAATAAATAAATAAACAAAAATAAAATATTACAAATTATATTTGATTTTTAAAAATTTTAATAAATAATAGTAAAATCAAAATTATTAGTATTATTATTTATTTATATATTTTTCATTATTAAATAAATAAATTAAATTATTGATAATGAAAACTTGTTTTTATATAAAATTATTTTATAATAACTATATACTATTTAGTTGAAATTGAAATACTTATAAAGATAACTATAATAATAATAATATGCATTAATTATATAATATTTAATAACTAAATCAATTTTTTTTAAATTTTATTTTAAATTATATACTATAAATATATTATTATTATTATTACTAGTATTTTTATGTAAAAATTATTTATAATAATTTATTGTATATAAATAGTATACAAAAAAAAATAATTCATACTTATTTGACATTAATTATTATAATAGTAAATTTATTATTATTATTTTTTTGTCAATCAAACTATGCATTTAAAAATGATAATAAAATTGATAGCACTGAATAAATATATTATTTATCAATTGATTAATTTAGTAAAATTTTTTTTTTAATTAAAATTTATTATTTTTATAATATTTTTTTCTTAACATTGATATTATTATCTGAAACAACAACAACATCATTGGTGTTAATCTTTTTATAGGATTTCCGATAAAAATCCTTAAATAAGTAGAAAAATATTGGATTTTGTCCGACTGTTAAATAGATAAATAAAAACAATAAAAATAAAAAATTATTAATAAAACAAATTACAAAATAATAATAATAATGAGAAAATTTTTAAATATCAAATAAATAAATAAAAAACATAATAAATAAATTTTTTTTTGTAAATATATAAACTATAATATTTTAATCTAACTTTTTTTTTATCAATTATTGATCTCTTAAAATCTATATATATATATATATATATATTTCAATACTAATTAATTAATATATTTAACTAAACAAAACACAAAAAACAAAACGTTATAAAAATGTTTAAATAGCAAAAAAAATAAATTAATAAAATATTTAATTAATAATTACCGCAAACCCAGAACCAAACCGCCGGATATCCAGTTTGCAGGCAAAACAATACGCAACCATAGGATCCGCATATGAGAAACTGTAGCAATTGTAGCTGGGTTATATACTTTTTCCACCATAAATAGGGTCGCATACGTGGACCTAATAAGGACAGGGAGTAATACGAGTACATCAGCACATGTATGGCAGTGTTGAACAGTCCAAACAGTCCGATGATTGGCGCCAATGGATTAATTTTCAATGAAAACCAGCCTAATAAACAAAAAATTTTAAAAAATAATAATAATAATTAAAAATTAAATAAATCATACATGCTAATTTTATTAATTTATATATATATATATATATTTGTATTAACTATTTGTTTTGATGCTACTAATAATTTTTTCTTTAAAAATTTTTATAAATAGTTATATTATAGTTGACTTTATAGAAATGATTTTAGTTTAACAAAAACAAAATAATAAAAATAATTAGCAAACAAAAAAATAAAATAATATTAGTAGAAAAAAATATAACAATTAACTAAATAATAATAATAATAATATTATTATTATTTTGTTGTTGTCGATAGGGTGACCACCACAGCCCTAACCTAATAACGGTACGGCCGTATGATGATAGACATGTAGAAATGTGACCTGGTTGTCTTTTTTGCGTAATACAAAAAACACAGTGTCCAGCATATCCAGGAACCGGGATATCCAGGACCACCAGCACAGGTTCAGTTCGTATAGGGTTTTCGGACTAAAGTCATATCTGTCGGGATAACGAAAATCCAGGAAACGGCGCCCGTAGTCGCATCGGTAGACAAGTTGATAGAAAAAGTAGCCATTAATCGTAACCAACAGTGTATTGAAGGACAGTATGGTTAATCTGAGCTGATAGGGCTTACGTTGGCGCATATAGTCGGGTAATAGTTTTTTAATCAATAGTAAATAGCCGGTTAATATTAGTAGGATTTTCCATATGCCACCATATACCTTAATTTAAAAAATAGATATATATATATATAATTCAATAATTTTAAATTAATTAATTAATTGAAAAGTAGATAATAATTTTTTTTAATAAAATAAATAAATAGACATTTAATTTAATATGTAAACATAATTTCATGTAATTAATATTAAAAAACAACAACAAATTAAAATTTATGATAGATATACTACACTTTATATATATATATAACATATTAAATACAAATAAAATGACTATTTATTATATCTTAAATAAAAAATTATTATCTATTTTTCAATTAATTAATTATTATAAATATATATTTATATAAGTATATAATAAATTGTAATTATTATATCTAATATCTATCTATAATAACTTATTATAAGTATATAATGTATAGTATTATATCTCTAATAATAATTATTATTATACAGTATTTTATATGTAAAAAATAATAATAGGTATGTATTAATAATAATAATAATAATAATTATAATTATAATACCATCGGAAAGTGTTTAGTCCGGGGATCGGCCGCATCGATCCAATACTGGTGCCCATAATAGACTAGACTGTCCATTAGGTATATTGACTACAAACCCCGAAAAATTAAATATAAATAAACAAATTTTTATTTAAAATTTATTTATATTTTTTTTAAAAAAAATATCATTCAACAAAAAATAATTAATTAATTAAACTATAAGTAGCACATGTACTATAAAATTTAAATTTAAAAAATTAATAATATTTTTTAACAGTAAATAAATCAAACAATTACATATCTGTATATAAAATATCAATAATTGTTTTTAATAAATAAGATATATATATATATGAAAAAATTTTCAATATTAATTAAAATTACATATATAATGACTACTAATAATAGTTAATTTATTAATAATAAATTTTTTTATTTATTCAAAAAATAATAGTCCACTGATTACATACTGTCTATTGATTTAAAAATATTAAATTGATTTATTTTGAATAACAACAACAAAAAATTGTGTACATATGGTTTCAACAATAAAATTATAATTAAATATTTAATTAAATATTATTGTAATTTTTTTTAAATGAATTATGTGTAATGTTAGACATTTTTATTGGCAATATTTTTTTATTTTTTAAAATTTAATATAATGCTTATTTTTTGTAGTTATATTAAAAATTAATTTACATTTTTTTCAAAACTAATATAATTAATAATTTAATTCAAAATAATTATTGACAATTTATATTATTATTAGTTAATTATTAAAATAATATAATATTATTAATTTAACATTATTTTTTTAAATAAAAAATACATTTTACTATTAATTAATAACTATAAGCTTAACAATAGTAAAAAAAATAATATCAATAATAAATTGTAATTAAAAAAATAAAGTTTAATAAACTTAACAATATTTTTTTTTTAAAAATTTGGCTAGTATAAAATTATATGAACTTGATATTTTTTAATTATTATTATTATTATTATTAAAATTAAGTAACAAAATTTAAATTTATCATGTTTTGTAGTGAGCATTATTGATTGTGAATTTAATTAATTAATTAATAAATAAATTTAGTAAAGATTATATTAATTTAATTTTTTTGTTAACATTTTTATCATTATCTTCAACAACAACAACATCATTATTATTCATCTTTTTATAGGATTTTCTATAAAAATCGTTGAATAAGTAGAAAAATAAGGGATTTTGTCCAACTGTTAGATAAATTCAACAAAAAAAAATAATATTAATTATTAGTATTAATAATAATGTTTTTTTTTGAAATAAAATACTGTACTTTTAAATGTATATCAAAAAAAGTTAATAATTAAAATAAACTTAAACTACACACACATATAAAATCAATCGCAAAATAGGTGAGACTGGTTTTTCATCAATATCTCCCTAACAGTTATATCTACAATAAAGATATTAAAACTACAACTATGGTTTCTTGTCACGTACAAAATAGTTAAACAAGTTTTTATGTAAATTTAATAGGGTTGAAATGAATCAATAAAGTTTATATCTCAAAAACTACTATATATATTTCAAATCTATAAAATGCTAAATATAGAAAATGATAAATTATTTGACATGTGTTTCAGCGTTTTTCTTAAAAAGTTTAAATTAAGTTGTAATTAATTTTCAAAGTACAAATCCTTATGATTTGAATTTCATATAAATCAAAAACTAATCAATATAATTAAATAATTATATTTTGAAAAAAATAAGTAATATAAGTTGTAATAAAAAAATAATATCAAATATTTTTAAAACACTTACTTATTTAAAAATAATATAAAAATTAATTTATTGTTAAAATTGATGTATTTGTTAACGTCATTTATGTTATATAATATTGAATCATTATAAAATAAAAGTAATGCAAGTGTTGTGTAAATGTTGTGTAAGTGTTGTGTAAGTGCTTTACAAGTGTTGTAACAGTAGTTATCTTTTTGTTTACATTTGTGGATCAAATCTTCTATTTTCACAATCAAAATGTCTTTGACAACTGGATTTGCTGACAATGAAATCAAATTTCGAAAATTTGTGAGATTTCGGGCCCTAAAGGAATCGTGTGCTCGGATAATTAAATCTCTTGGTAAGTAAAAACAAATTTATTATTATTTATATTAACAAAAAATTTATAGGCATAAGTAAATCCACTTATTACCGCTGGTTAAAAATGGACGACGATGACATACCTCTCTTCAAACCTGTCACTTCAGGTCGTCCAAGAATTACAACCATTGAAGATGACGACATGATTGCTGAAATGGCTCTCGAAAAGCGCTTCGAACCACTAACTAAATGGAGAAAATATGAGCCATTAATAACAAACGAAAGGATTGCCAACGCTTCTGATGACACTATATACCGAAGACTAAATGAAAAAGGTATTGTATTTTATATCTTATTTTATTTTAAATTAATAATTTATTTTAAGGTATACGAAAATGTGTGGCAGCAATAAGACAAAAATTGACAGAAAGACACATGCATTTACGTATGCAATATGCCACTAATTTCATTGAGTGGACATTTGAAGACTGGAGTCGTGTCATCTTCATTGATGAATTTGGAGTTGACACCAGTGACAATGGAAAAGTTTATGTCTATCGACTTCGTGGTCAAAGATATGCCAAACAAAACATTACTGAGACTACTCGTAACACAAGACAAACATTCACTTTCATTGCTTCGTAAGTATTAATAATATTAATGTTAACTTATATTAACAATTTTTAACACTAATGCAGTGCAAATGAACTTTGGGATGCCGTGATGAGTGCTCATCTGAGTTTATCAGAAAATAGAGAGTATTTTATTCGATTGATTAATTCAATGCCAAATCGTTTGAATGCTGTCCTTCAAAACGATGGTGGACATACAAAATATTAAATAAATTTTAATTAATATTTGATAAAATTGTTTAAAAAATCTTTA